ATTCCATCCTTTTTTTATGCTCAAACACTTTTTTTTTTTAATCCACATTTTGAATGCTCGCCCTGACTCCCTGCACTGAACTGAAACACTCAAAATTTTCCAATTTATCTTCAACTCAGCCGTGCTAAAAGCTTCAGGCTGTCCCAGTMTTAAAAGACAATGGAATGAGTCCAGTTTGGAGTTTAATAGACAACATTTAGCATCTCTTGCCTTTGGGTGGGTCTTCTTTCTTATCCAAGCAGAAGTCGAACCTTTGCTGTAATCTGAGGGGTGATTCATCAAAACGACACTTTTCTTTCTGGGCAGGAAAATAATAATTTCAAGGCCTGGAGCACCTCAGGGAAGTTCCTCCACTCCTGGTGCAGCTGCCTGCACGGTCTGGCCCTGAGCTGAGCAGATTTTCAGTGGCACTCCATCAAACGCCACCAGACACATAAACAATGGGATTTGGGTTTTTGGATGAGATGTTTGTCATGAAAACACAATTGCTGCCCCAAAACCCAGCATTTCAGGCTCTGATTTTCACAATTTTTAGCTCAGAAGGAGCTGTGGGTTGCCTGGAGATGTCCCTGGAGATCCTCTTSTGTTAATGAGTGTAATTAAGAGCACGGAAAACACAGGGTCTGGTTTGTAGGGGCTGCCTGGACAGAGTCGGGTCCAAACTTTACTCAGAAGGATTTAGTTTTGAGGGAATAAGAGAAAAAACAGAAAAATATTCTTTCCTGCACGTCCCAGAAAAAGGTACACCCTGAAATGAAGCTGACAAAGGTCACCAGAGGTGGGACAAGGAGCTTATCCAGGACTTTGGTCCTTCCTTCCGTGCCTTGGTCTAGAAAATCATCTTGGGTGGAACAGCSCTTTTGGGTTGGAATTGGATGAAATTTAAGAGTCCCTTACAGCCCAAACCATTCTGGGTGTTTGTGAACATCAGAGGACAGCTGATCCTTTCTCAGCAGAGGGTGAAAATCGAGTAAAACCCTGACAGATCCTTGCCTAAAATGTTTTCAGAAAATTCCAGTGGTGGATTCTCAGAACTCCCATGGACAGGATTTCACCTGCCCTGGTGCAAAGTTTGACATCCAACAGCTCCTCATTTTGTTTTCTATGCTTGCATCCCTCTCACTGCTTTTTCCCAAACTTTGATCATTCCAAACTTTTCAAACTGGACTCTCCAGCACGTCCTGCCAGAGCTGAGCACCAAGATTGTGTCACYGAGGCTGAGGTGACACTGACCCTGCCCTTCCATCCCTTCCTGGGGACACTGTGCTGTGTTTGATCACCCTCCTGACCTCRGGCTCTTGGTGCTCTCCAGGTGTTTGAGCTCTCCACTCTCCACTGAATTTATTTGAGCAAAAAATTCATTTTTCTCAGAGGATTAAAAAAAAAAAAAGAAAAAAACAAACCCTGTTGGTCACTTCCTTCTGCTTCACTCCACTGCAGGAATTTGTCCCCTAACAAGGGAGTYCCTCACAGATGAGCTGAAATAATGAGTCTGTTAACGACTGAAGCCATGAATATAAATTTATTTATTTTCGCTGAACATTTCAGAGCCTGGAAKGAGCCACCAGCACAGCCAGGTCTGTGCAGCAGCAGAAACAAATCCAGAGTGGGGTTCAGCTCCCTTCCCTCCCCCGCAGCCCTTCGGAATCATTTCCCAACAGATCGATGGAAACAGAGTTGCCTGATCCGAGCACAGGCACCYAAAATAAACCTGCTGAATCACAGCCTCGAAGGGTCTCCAGTARCTCAGGATTCCCTTCATCCATTCAGGTGGATTTTGCTCTCTCCCGGCACCTTTTGTCACTTAGGGAAGAACGAGACCTCCGAGCAGCCTCCCAAAACTAGAAGTGGGTGCACAACTGCCAAAAAAACTGCAGAGAAACAGCAGCTGAGCACTGAAAAAACACCACGTTTTTGCAGTTTACAAGTTCCTCGAAATCACTTTGGATTATTTTCTTTTCTTTCTTTTTTTCTTTTTACCCTCTCACTCTGCAGTTTCCTCCCATGGGGTTTTTTACTCTCRAACAGACAGCACATGATGATGAGGCTGGAGTGACAAGGGTCACTAAACTGTCCCAAACTCTTCACCCAGYCTGCACAAATTGCACATTCCTGGGAGCTGCTCCTGTAATTTTTGGCTGTCCCAGAAGTGAGCAGGCACTCTGAATTTATTGGGGCAGTGATCAGGGCTGCTGACAAAGCCAGATCTGCTTTTAGTGCTCTCCAGGGGGGATCTGAGCATCACTTAAATTTGCCTCTGCCCATGAAACCATCGAACCCAAGAAACCAAATTTCCCTCTTSAAGTTGCTGCCTGTGAGGAGAAAGAGGAGGAGGAGGAGGAGGAGAGGATGCTGAGCAAGAACAGGGATGTGGCTCATCTGGGTTTTTCTGGCCTTTCCCTGAGAAATCCCACCCTGTGTCCACTTCAGGACATCATTTTTGTGTCTGTTCCTCAGCAGGAATTTGGGCCAATTTTTAATTTTCTTGATGAAAAATCAACCTCCCCTTAAGAGCCCATCCTTAAACCCCATCTCCAGCCAGCCGTGCTTTGTCCAACCATGCAGAATCCAGGGGTGGGAATGAAATCACAGAGATCTGCTTCTCTTGAGAATTTCAGCCTTTTTTATGCCCAACAGGTTTTTTTAGCCTCATTTTGAATTCTCACTATGACTCCCTGCTCAGAGATGCTCGATGCAACAGCCCTGCCTCCCTTGTTTTTATCTCCTTTGCTCCCTCTATCCTGCAGGAAATTCTCTTTTTATACCAAAAAAATCGTTATCTTGGAAATAGAAGCTTTTTAGCTGCCTTCCACTCCCTGATCTCTACAGGAACTGGGACTTTGAGTGAAATTTTTTTAAAAAAAGAAGATTTATATCAACACTTGAGTGTGCCCTTCCTTTCTGAGCAATACGGGAGCGGCGGGGAATTACGGTAACGCAAAGCTCCTGCTCTGCTACATCAGCAGAGCAGCAAAGTTCCTGCAGCTCCTTCCCAGCGTGGAGCTGAGCCCCGAGCGGGGCAGGAATCCCTGCAGGCAGCCGGGATCAGCCCCTCGGAGCCGCTGGAAGCCGGGAATCATCCCCACCGCAGCTGCTGGAACGCCAGAGCGGGAATCAAGGGACGGGAGCAGAGGATTTCCAGGCAGAGTCCCATCCCTGCGCGGACAGAGGAGGCTGCTGCTCTGAGAATCTCCTTCCCAGATGCTCCGAGGAGCTGTGCTGCCTTCTAGAGACTGAAGAGGTGAGTGTGGGGTAGGCACAGGAGCMTGGGGTCTGCCTTTCCTGACAGCAGCTCTCTCCCCAGGCTGGGCGTTCTTTGGTTTTGAGCATGGAAACCTTTCAGTCCATTCTGCTGCATCTCCTAGACTTGCTGGGAAGTTTTTCTTTGTAGGCTTAAAAAACCAAAGCTGATAATTTCTTAATTACCTCTATCAGCCTTTTAATGACCCCAATTTGTACCCTGTAATGACCTCAGTTCTGATGCTCGGCGATGCTCGATGCAACAGAGACTTTTCACTGATGTGCTTGGTAAAATCTGTCCTTTTCTTCCTCGGGATCATTCCTCGACTTGTTCCATCCGGCGGGAAAGAAAATAAAAGATCTGATTTCATTTCAGAGCACTGAAGTCTGATTCCCACAGTGTGATACCTATCCCTGTCCCCCTCCCCCTCCTCCCTGCCTGGGAACTGGGAATTCCGGGGGTTTTTCAGAATTTAAAATGCTTTTTCCTGCAGGAAAGTTCAGCCTGGAGCTTTGGAGATGGGACAGTTGTTGCTGCTTAAGGCTCGATCCCAAGGACTCCTCTCAAGGGACATTTAGGGAATCCTCCCTCATCTGGGGTTTTTACAGCCACAGCCTTAGGGGTGGTTTTTCACCTCTGATCAATATTTGGGATGGGAATTCCGGATCCACCTGGAGGTGTTGGGAAGGGTTTTGCAGCCCCCGCTTGCAGCTGTCCCCTCGGTGCCTCCCAGGTCCCAGTTCCCAGGCTAATCCTCACTTTTCCATCCGTGGTACCTTTTCTCCATATTTAGTCAGCTGAGGCTGAGCTTGGCTCCCAGATACTCTGAAATGTTGTGTCACTCACTCCCAGATTTGCTCCTCGCACCATCTTCTGCTCGGCTTTGGAGTCGCTTTTCCCTACAGATTTTCCAAAGGGGGCAGCTCAGCCGGGCTAACGATTCCGTGGGGAAAGGTCTGGCTTAATAAAGAAATCTGAGATTCAATTCTGGGCTTCCAAACCTGGCTCACACTTGGTGGAGTCCTGAATTGTGTCCTGCAGGCTCCTGTCTCCCCCAAAACTGAGCAAAACTGGTCTCTGCAGTTGAGCTGATAATTGGGATTGTTGCCCATCCCCACAAAAGARGGGAAATTCAGGCAGGAAACCCCTCTTGGATCTCTCAGCTGCTGTCAGACAATGCTGGGCTGGAAAAGGTTGGTTCCACGGGCTGGAGGCAGCCTGAGGAGAGCTCCCTAAAATAGCCTCCTGCTCTATTCTTATATGGGAACCATAGCAGCCAGCGGCGCTTCTGGGAATCACATTGTTCGTGGTTTTGTCTCCTCCAGGGGGGCAGAGAGCCCCAGAACGTGGCCCCGGGAGCATGGCAAACCCAGCTCTGATGAAAATGAGCTTTAATTTGCAGCCCAGAACCTCGACCCACGAGTGCTCCACCTGTGGAAAGCTCTGACTGACAGACCAGCCCCCGAGGATGGGCAGTGATGGGTGTCTCCAACGAAATTGCTGAGCAGGCACAGCAGGAAACTCCCCCCAGTCAGGTTTTAAAGCCACTTTTAAGGCAGAATCAAGGCAATTAAAAGCATCAGCGATTTCCTCTCGGACGAAACATCCATTGGAGACCCTTTGGAATATTCACAGTACTTAAATACTGAACTTTCCCCCAAAAGACAGAAATGATTTTCACCTGCAGCTCCARCATTTCTCACCACMCATCCCTGGAAATTGGGATGAACAGCCTGGGGTTTGTGTAACCTCACTTGTGCGCCCCAAGGAGAATGTGGCTGGAGTTAAATTGGCCTTGGAACTGGTGGGTATTGACTGTGCTGTGCTGCTGAGAGCTCAGGAGCGAAGGTGGGGGTGTTTAATATGTTTCTGGATCTTTCTCATCGCTGCCGGGGCTGCACTGGTGAGACGTTCTTCAAAACTCTGTTCCCCAGCAAAGCCAGGCAGATGTTGCGGGTGGGACCTTCACAGGACTGATCTGGTCACTGCTCCTGCCTGGAAAGGGGGTGAAGCTCGGCAGATGGACATTACCAGCCATGGCTTTCCTCCCTGGAAACTCCTCCGAGTGCTCCAACTGCACCCACTCCTCGGAGCCCGTGAACATTTCCAAAGCTATCCTGCTGGGTGTTATTCTAGGGGGGCTGATAGTTTTTGGGGTTTTGGGCAATATCCTGGTTATCCTGTCCGTGGCCTGCCACAGGCACCTCCAGAGTGTCACCCACTACTACATCATCAACCTGGCCGTAGCCGACCTCCTGCTGACCTCCACCGTGCTGCCCTTCTCGGCCACCATGGAGATTTTGGGCTACTGGGCCTTCGGGAGGATCTTCTGCAACATCTGGGCGGCCGTGGACGTGCTCTGCTGYACCGCTTCCATCATGAGCCTGTGCATCATCTCCATCGACCGCTACATCGGCGTCAGCTACCCGCTGCGCTACCCCAGCATCGTGACCGAGAGGAGGGGCCTGCTGGCCCTGCTGTGCGTCTGGGCGCTGTCCCTGGTCATCTCCATCGGGCCCCTCTTCGGCTGGAAGGAGCCGGCCCCCGAGGACGAGACCATCTGCCAGATCACCGAGGAGCCGGGCTACGTGCTGTTCTCGGCGCTGGGCTCCTTCTACCTGCCCCTGGCCATCATCCTGGTCATGTACTGCCGCGTCTACGTGGTGGCCAAGCGCGAGAGCAAAGGGCTCAGCTCGGGGCTCAAAACCGAGAGGTCGCATTCCGAGGAGGTGACGCTGCGCATCCACCGCAAGAACGCGCCCGGCGCCGGCGGCTCCGCGCCCAGCGCCAAGAGCAAGCACCACTTCTCCGTGCGCCTGCTCAAGTTCTCCAGGGAGAAGAAAGCTGCCAAGACCCTGGGGATCGTCGTGGGATGCTTCGTTCTCTGCTGGCTCCCRTTTTTTGTGGTGATGCCGCTGGGTGAGTAGAGCCGAGCGCTGCGCGCGTYGCCGTGCTCGGGGATGGGTGCGATACAAAGTTTGTCTGATTTATTGTTTGATTTATTTTTTTTTCTTGATGGAAATTTCATTAGGAAATTTTATTCCTTAGTTTTGTTCTGATTCTAAAAGTGCTCCTCGCGGTTCCACCCGGTGGAACACAACTGCGATAACGCAGATCAGAGAAGTGTGGAGGGAATGATTTCCTCCCGCAAAGCTGCCAAAAAAACAAACTCTTGCTGCCACAAGGCAGGGAGCGTGAAAAAGACGCGAGGCTCGAACGAGACCAAGCGTCCCTGGTGATCASAAAYARAATTCTGGAAATGGGAAAAAATCTYRTACTTYTCACACASAGAAAATCCTCTTTGTGAGCAAGGGCAGAGAGTTCTGATGTCTCTGCTGCAGGAACAAGATCTTCAGGGGTTTGTGAGTTTATGTTTGCAGCCAGGTGACTTCAGTGTATAAAAGGTCAGGATTTGAAAGCATTCAGGGTAGAAGTTGCTGTTCACAGATCCCCTGGAGCGCTCATCATTCCATTGTAAGGAAAAAAAAAAATTAGTTTCCCATCAGGAAATTGGCCCTGTGAGATACCATAACTCCAAACAAAATTAATCTTTTTATCCAATTTTTCATATGACCAGTCAGGAGACGGCAGTGAGGATCCTTCCAGCTCATTTTATACTTCCCTGGTTTGCGTTTTTTTTCTGGGAACACGTTGAGCCCACTGGCCAAACACCGCCTCAGCCACCATGCTGGAGATGAATATTTATCCTCCACTTGTCATTCCAAAGGGGAGCAAAGCYGGGGATTTGTTCTGCTTTGCTGGAATATAAAGAAGTAATTAGAATTTTAATTAAACCTTGCTCGGTTACCTTTGATGCAGTTGCAGGGGTGTAAAAGCAGAATACTAATTTTGTACCTGTGGCTGAGGGTGAGGGACGTGGCTCTGCCATTCAGTACTGGGATTTTTCAGACGTGGAAACTAAAATCTGTGACTTGCTCAATTTCAGGGTTTTTCTCATGGAAAGGGCTTATGCTGTACAGGAAAAATAAAATCAGATTTTATGGAAGCTTTGGTTGGTAAGACAACAATATAGACAATTAGGAAAAGGAAAAACAGCCTTACCTTAATACAAAAAGAAAGATTTGGGGATTTTATTTCCCTTTTTCTTTTTTTAATCTGCTTTTTTCAACCTTGTAAATGAACTTTTCTACKTAACCTCTACTGGTTTTACCAAGATTTATCCAGACACACAAAAACCTGTTGCAAACGCTGTGAAAAACCCCAGAAATTCCAAATTTTTCTGCTCTTGGTCAATAGTGGGAAATGCTGGACTGGAGCTGTTTCCTAAGGAGGAGCCCTGGAGGGCCTGGCTCGTGCTGGCCAGGATGTCAGCACGTTGGAATGCTGCTTGCCAAGATGACTGAAACATACCCAAAAAGGCCTTGGGAGAACGCATTAAACTCACTTTTCATGTGCAAATGTGGTTGCCCGCACGGAGCTGTTGTTAATTAATTTGCTTTGGATTTAGGAAATCATCTGGGCTCCAGAATGGYTTTGCATCTTCCTTTGATCCCTTGTAAGGAAACTCTGGAGGTTTGTTTCCCTCTTTTTGGGGGCTTACTGGGTTATTTTTAAAGCAGATRTAATAAGGCTTTCAAAACCTATTTGCTGCTTTTGTTTAAAGACAAAAAAAAAAGGATTAAACAGGCAAGTGGTGCTAAAAAAATTCCTCAAAAAAGCCCAGGAGGCACATCTTGATGCAGAGCAAAGACAATGACCACTTTCAGGTCTGTCCTGCAGCCAGGTCCGGGTGGGATAGGGAAGGATCCTGACAGGATCTTGGAGCAGGGATYTGGCTGTTCCAGATGGATAAARTCCTTGTTGGAAATYCTGTGGAGCTCACAGCRTGCMTGGACTTYGTGCAGCTCTGCAGCTTTGTGGGGCAGAGCTGAAAATGGTCCCATGAACCAGCTCTGGAGGGATTTGACAGATGTGGTTTCAGGGTGGACTTGGATGGTTGAACTCAGTGATCCAAGAGGTCTTTTCCAACCCATAAATTCCTGCAATTCCATCGTCCAGCCCACTGCCCACGGACAGATCCCTCAAACTGCTCCACAAACCCTTCAGGCAGCTGWGCTCACCATTCCTTGCAGCAGAGCCTCCCCAAACCTTCACTCATCTCTCTGAGATCTTCAGCTTCTCCAAGATCTCCATTAACATCAGCTCTGAATGATCAGATCCAAGCAAGAAGCACAGGTTTATTGAGGTGCAAACCAGCAGGGGGTGGAAACCTTTTCTATGGGAAAGAGGGAGAGAAAGATCTCGAGAAAGGCACAATATCCACCTTGATATTTCCAGATGCTGCTGGAAATAACCTGAGAAACATCTGGAGTGTCCCTGTGGTCAGAAATTACCTGAACGGGGTGTGAAGGTGCCAGCTGCAGGCTGGGGGTTGGGTTTCATCCYAAAGAGTCCGTGCAAAGCCCTGCACCCCAAAAATCCAGCACAGCCCCTTCTCCCCTGGCCTGGTGTTTGTGGGATCATCCAGGGAATTATATCTTTGTTGCAGAAAACTCAGTGAGGTTAATATTCACTTTTCCTCTTCTTCTGAAGCATGAACTCACTGCTCACAAAACTTCTGTGACCACGAGCTTGTCAGAACTTTGATTTCCCCTGGAAGAAGCCAAGTTTTCGCTCCTGTGAGCAGAACCAAGCAGGGCTGGCATTGCTGACAGCCCTGTGGCCACCAGGTGACAAAAAACAACGAACCGGAGCCAGGGAAGGGCAGCTTGGAGCCCCTCTGGGTCTCCCCAGGAGGGTTGAGAGGAACAGTCTGGGTTTATCTGCAGCTYCTGGGCCAAGGGGGTTTGTGGGGAGAGGCTCAGGTGAGGCTCATGTGGGCARSCAGGGCTTGGGGGGCTCTGGGATTCACAATCACAACCCAAATTTCTGCTTTTTGTTCTCTTCCTGCATTTCCTAGAAAGGTACATCAGATATGTACAGAGACGTGGACAGATTAGGAGCACTCAGAGCTGGAAAGGCCCAGAAATCAGTGGAAGGCCCCAGTGATGGCAATTTTGGGGTTACAAGTGGCAGAATAGATATTTTCTGATATTCCTGTGACTGGAAGGCATTTTTGTGTTGTTCTGGGAACTCTTTAAAAGATTTCTTTTCAGCAACATAAAAGACAGTGCTTGGAAGTTGTTTTGAGGTGAAACGCACACAGAACTGGTGGAAGAAAGGGTTGGGGGTGTTGCAAAAATGATCCTGGGCTGGGATTGATGATTTATCTGAACGGTAAATCCCAAAGCTTGGCTTGTTGTCCCTTTTTGTGGTTTAACTCGGGGAGTGGGTGCTGCTTTCAGCAGCAGGAGGAAATAAAAAGAGAAAATCCGAGTCAGGAGGTCACAGGGGAAAACAAAAATCCTGAGCTGGGAAAAGGGCAGGAAGGGTTTTAGCATTTGTCAATCATCCTCTTGATGAAGAGAGCAAAAGAAGAATCTGCTGGAGGGTGTTTGTGTTTGCAGCAGAGGAGTAAATTGGCCTTGTGAGCTGACACAAACACTGGCAAGGGAATCCTCTCATCCTGCCTGCAGCTGCTTTCTAATCTTTATTTTGTGGTTATTTTTTTAAACTGGAGTCAAAGAGAGCCACTCTGCTTTCACCAGGCACAAACCAGCAGAATAAAGCGCATTTTTCCATCGCTGCCGTTGACACGAGGTGACCTCTCCGTGGGTCACGAGGCTCAGAGTAGCGACACACACCCGCACAAATCCCCACAGCAACATTTCAGCTTTTCCTCGGTGAGAAAGAGAAAAAAAAAAGAAATAAAAGTAAAAAAAAAAAACCCTTCTGGAGAACAGCTGAAAGAGAGGATTGATCTGTGTGGGTGAAGCCACTGAATGGTGTTGCCTTTGGCCAGTTTGGAATTCTGGGGCTGGCATGGTTAAAGGGATAAAAGGGATTTCCCTCGGTGTTTAATGGGATCCCGGGTGCTCAGCTCATTAGGGTGGAACACACCCTGAAAAAAATGAATTTTGTCCCATAAAACATCTGTACAATTTTATAGACCTCACAAATTATCAGATTATCAAATCTGCCCAGAATCCCCCAATCAGAAACTCAATAAATGCAGCAACGTCCCCCAATTCTAAAGAATCTCCCCGGACGGGGCCGGAGCCCAGAGAGAAGGTTCCAGAAAAGGTTGAACCCTCGAGTTTGGGACAGCCCAGGGCTCACTGGCCTCTGCTGGAGATGTTTGGGTTTTCTGACCAGCAGGACCCCAAAACTGAGCGGGAATATCACAAGAATTACAGGCATGTAGGCTGAGGGTACAAGGAATACATAAAGGGTACAGAAAATATCTAAAAGGGCATAAAAATATATAAAAGGGTACAGAAAATATCTAAAAGGGTATAAAAATATATTAAAGGGTAGAGAAAAAAATCTAAAACAGTATATAAAATATGTAAAAGGGTACAAAAAATATCTAGAAGTGTATATAAAATATATAAAAGGGTACAGAAAATGTATAAAAGGGTACAGAAAATATCTGAAAGGGTATAGGAAACATTTAAAGGGTACAGAAAATATCTAAAAGGGTACAAAAAATATCTAAATGGTACAGAAAATATATAAAAGGGTATAAAAATATATTAAAAGGTAGAGAAAAAAATCTAAAAGGGTATAGAAAATATCTAAAAGGGTATATAAAATATATAGAAGGGTTTTGGTTTTGGGGATTGTTTTGGGGATTTATTTGTTCATTTTTTGAGGGTGTTTTGTGTGGTTTTTGCTGGCTTTTTCGGTTTTGGGGTTTTGTTTTAGGGTGTTTTTGTTTTCTTTTTTTAATTTTAAAAGTCAAACTACAGTTTTATTGCAAGTGAATGACTTCAAGAGCGAGGGCATGGGGGCAAATATCAAACATCTCAAAAATGTCAGCAGCGGGCTCCAGACCCATCCTACAGCAGTGACAGCTT